GTTGTTTGGCAGGCCTGGGCTGGATTCAAACCCGCCACCTTAGGTGTATGTGGCTGGCGCCTTAGCCACCTGAGCCACAGGCGCCGAGCCATCATCACATCCATTTTTTAAAACTCATTTTTACAGTGCACTTGTATGTTTAAAATGGTGAATCAGGTAAGCTACTCTTGTGAATGTGTGATTTATAGTTAAACTCATAAGCAGTAATCTTAACTCAAAAAATATATTGCATTTTCCCAATTTCAGCAGAGTGTTTAGAATATGCATACTGAAATTAAATGGTGGTTTTTTATTTTACTCAAGTCCTTTACAAGAGCCATTCACAAGTTTCTTCAGATAGTTACTAAGTGCAAAAGGACAGATCAGGAGTGTGTGTTTCCCTTTCCACCTTCCATTGGCTTCAGCAGACCTATATATCCATTTTCTGCATGGATTTATCAGCTGAAAAGTTAATAACAAAAAATAACAGGTAACATAGAATTCATCTTCACAATAACTTCTCTAAGGAACACACTTTCTGGGTTTTTTTTTGAGACAGAGTCATTTTGTTGCCCTTGGTAGAGTGCTGTAGCATCACAGCTCACAGCAACCTCAAACTTCTAGGCTCAGGCAGTTCTTTTGTCTCAGCCTCTCAAGTAGCTGGGACAACAGGTGCCCACCACAACACCCAGCTGTTTTTACAGATGGGGTCTCCCTCTTGTTCAGGCTGGTCTCAAACCTGTAAGCTCAGGCAATCCACCTGCCTTGGCCTCCCAAAGTGCTAGGATTATGTGCGTGAGCCACCACAGCCAGCCTAAGAAACATGTTATTTATAAACTTCTCCTCAAAGAGGGAGAGTGGATTCAAAGCCAGCCTAGCAGTAAAGATCTTAAGAAATCATAATAATCTAGTGAAAATATTATTTATGTTTGGCTAAACATGAGCCATGCACATGGTTGGATAGAAAGTGAAAAGTTATTGGGCAGTGCCTGTGGCTCAAAGGAGTAGGGCACTGGCCCCATATACTGGAGGTGATGGGTTCAAACCCAGCCCTGGCCAAAAACTGCAAAAAAAAAAAAAAGAAAGAAAGAAAGAAAGGGCAGCTGGGTGTGGTGGCAGGTGCCTGTAATCCCAGCTACTTGGAAGGCTGAGGCAGGAAGATCATTTGAGCCCCAAAATTTGAAGTTTCAGCGAATGATGGTGGTGGCATTGCACTCCAACCTGGATGACAGGAGACTCTATCTCAAAAATTGGCGGGACTTATTTGCATTTTTCAATTATTTAAAGGGGAGCATCTGATCTCAATAATTGCCATTTTTTTAAAAAAAATTCTATTTCAACCTTTTCTTGTGTGAAATGGCCATAATAAAACACACTGACCTATCTCACTAGTTTTAGGACTCAAATCTGGATAGTCTCCCATTTGTCTGAACTGAGTGATAGTACTTGAAATAGATGAAGTAAATAAAAGTAGATGAAGTATGACATGTGAGGAATTTTTGTTAAAGAACTTCATCTTGAGGCCAGGCAAGGTGGCTCATGCTTATAATCCTAGCATTCTGGGAAGCTGAGGCTGGAGGATCCCTTGCGCTCAAGAGTTCAAGACCAGCCTGAGCAAGAGTAAGACCGTGTCTCTACTAAAACTAGAAAAATAGCTGGGCATTGTGGTGGGTGCCTGTCATCTCAGGTACTCAGGGGGCAGGAGGAGTTTGAGCTTGCTATGAGCTAGGCTGAGGCCTTGACATTCCAGCCTGGGCAACAGAGTGAGACTTTTTTTTTTTTTTGCAGACAAGAAGCTTCATTTTGGAAAAAAAATGTACATTAGATGACTTTAAATGATTTGGGTGAATTCTTTATTTATGGACTGCATATAGAAAGCATATGCTAATTTGTCCTATAAAATCATTTATGTTTTCCATAAATACATATTGAGAACATAAGAAACTAAACTGACTTTAGAATTAAACCTAATAATGGATAGCAAGATTTTGGCTTAAGTGTAAAAGTATTAATATTTACCCCAGACATTCCCATCTTCATGCTTATAATCTTATTTTTTTTTTGAGACAGAGCCTCAAGCTATCCCCCTGGGTAGAGTGCTGTGGCATCAAGAGAACTGCCTGAGCTCCAACTCCTGGGCTCAAGCGAGTCTCCTGCCTCAGCCTCCCAAGTAGATGGGACCACAGGCACCCACCACAATGCCTGGCTATTTTTTGGTTGCAGCCATCATTGTTGTTTGGCAGGCCCGGGCTGGATTCAAACCCGCCACCTTAGGTGTATGTGGCTGGCGCTTTAGCCACTTGAGCTACAGGCGCCGAGCCCATGCTTATAATCTTGAGGGGGAAAATCCTTCAATTTAGCAAGATGAAAAATTGTCTTTCAAAACAGATAACCCAAGAAATCAGTTTCTTTTAATTGTATACTTCTGTTCAAACTTTTTAAAATTTTTATAGAATTTTTTAAAGACAGTGCCTCACTTGGTTGCCAGGCTGGAGTGCAATGGAATGAAGATAGCTCACTGCAACCTCAAATTCCTGGGCTCACATGATCCTCCTGCCTCACCTTCCTGAGTAGCCAAGGCCATAGGCATGCACCATCTCCACCTGGCTTATTTTTAATTTCAAACTTTTTTCTTTAAAAAAGACAGTCATCCTGGGCGGTGCCTGTGGCTCAAAGGGGTAGGGTGCTGACCCCATATGCTGGAGCTGGTGGGTTCAAGCCCAGCCCTGGCCAAAACAAACAAAAAAAAACTACAAAAAAAAAAAAGTGATCTTCTAAAAACACTTTTTAATTCACTATATGTGGTGCTAATGAACTTGGATAGCTACCAACAAATATTATATTTATAAGTGAACACTTTAAAAATCCCAACTAAGGTTGCTACATTTTACAGGGTTGTGAAGAATTTTGTCCTTATTTACTGCAGTGGTGGCTCCAAGCCAGTGTACTTGCATCATTAGTTTTTAGTAATCTCTCATGAATAAGCAGAAAGTACAGCATTCACCAGTTACTGAAAATGTTTTGGAAAGTTTCTAGATTTTTACTTTTCTTTTTCACTGTGGTTGATATATAATTTTAGTTAGAATTATTATAATTGATTGTTTTTATAAGATGTATACTTGCATTTACTTTTAGGTGGTTTTGTTTTCCTCAATCATTTTTATCTAGAATAGCTATGGAATTAAATAAGTAGAATTTGCATTAGAAAATGGAATCCAGCAATTAATTGGTCTCAATCTGATTATATCTGTTACACAGCCAAATTCTATTACAGTACTTTCTAAGGTAATCCATATTTTTGTATTATTGTAGAAACAAGCAGGAATCAGATGACTTAGAAGTCACAAAATACTTTTAATAAAATAGTATTTAAACAATTTGAACTTATATACAAAACATTTAGTGAATATAAGTAGATTCTGATTCAAGTCACATCCATTTGACATTAAAAGGATCATTAGGGCCTTAATACTATATTAATTTTCATTTAAATTTGCCATGGTATAAATGCTGTTTTTAACGAGCATTTATTATTAGCTAGGACTCAGATTCTCTTTGAACCACGAATTTTATAAGGCGGGGGGGGGGGTTCTTCATCAATTTTTTCAGCATTTTCTCCCTTTTAAGAGTCAAGTATTATTCACTTTGCTTCTTATAAACCCAAAGAATATGAAAATTCTCCTCTAATTTAATGTAGCACAATTGACTTAACATTTTTTCAGTGCACTTTATAGGATATAAAAATAGTACCTGGTAACATTTAAATAAAGGTAGCAGAAAACAAAAGAACTTTCAAATAGAAATTATGTTCTCTGCCACCTCCTCCACCTCAAAGAATAATAAGCATGTGGCACAAATGGAGTTCTTCAGAAAAGCTATCTGCATAATTTTCTTTCAAGGTAATGTACTTGACAGCATGAAGTTTGTGATGATCTTAATTGGTCAACTATTTAGTACAGTCTTAGAAACCCTCTGATTTATTTCTAAGAGATTATTTTACCAGTATATGTGTAAGTAGGCTTGCTAAAGGTTTTTAAGGGATATAGATTGTGAGAAGACACCAGTCTAAACTGGCTTCTATATGCAATCCAGTGTAATTTCATGCATAAAGTTCTAGCTTCATGTTGCCTTATTTTTTATAGTTAAGAATTTTTTAGGAGTTTACGGCAGACTTTAAAAAATAATTGTTAGGCTTTAGAATCCCACTGTTTGAAAAGATCCTTTTAATGTTGACTTTATTGACATATGTAAAGTCTACTCTCTGATTTCATCTAATACTATATCAGGGTTGGACTTTTCTGCCTGCTGTTTCTGTATTTTATAAAGTCCTCACTTAAGGTTTAGAATCCTTTAGGTTCAAATTCCTATGACATTCCTTTATTG